GGAATTATTCAAGCGAGAACCCGTATTTTCCATACAAGAATTTGTAGCTATTTTATTGCACTTAAACACCAAGAATAAATTTGACAACCCTTATTTGCCCCCTTCACCCCAAAAATATAGCATAAAATTTTAGCAGTGATCATTTGTTCACAGCCACAGCTTCAAAAAAAAAAAAAAAAAAATACTGGAAGAAAGAACCCGATACGATCACGCTGCTTTACAATTCTGATTCACGTACAAAAGATACTGAAAGTTTTTTTTTTGTTTTTTTTTGAGTATTCCAGTCACATCAAGTTGCAAATGAGAGGAAGAAACTGTCTGAAGTTTTTATTTGCTTACATTACAAAGCTGCTTTTTTTCCCCAGTTTGCTTTTGCTTTTTGCGTTCGTGTGAAATAAATATTTCCAAAGTTATTTCATATATATATATACATATATATTGTGTGTTTGTTATTTATATAATATATATTTATATATACACACAGTTCCGTTTTACTTTTTTTCCTGTTACTTCCCGCTAAAGTTAAAAAGTCATAAAATTGTGCAACGCTTAGAAAATGAAAATCCCAAACCGTTTCCCACGGGTTTTATTTTAGGGCAGAAAAAAGTCAAAAGGTGGCTTGTTTGCAGCTATGTAAGAACTGAAGAGAAGGAAGTAAACCCACCCCAATAAAACAGAAAATATGGAAGATAAGTGCGAGGGGGAAAAATTAGCCTGTATTCCCAGCTGTGCGGGAAGCCAAGTGAACGGAATCTTCATTTGGAATCTCCATTTGTTTAGAGGGGGAAAAAATAATCTCACCAGCCTAACTGACACTGAACAATGTCATAAGATCTGCTATGAAACATTCTAACACAAAAACGTGCCTCTTATTTTCTAGAGCCAGGAAGTTAGTTGATTTGCAAAATAACGAATTGGCAAATGTATAGAGCAGCAGAATATATTATTCCATCTTTTCCTTTAAACTTAATTTCTGAATTCACAAAGTATTTCAGCTGCAGTAGCCTCTTTTCATCTTGTCCAATTTACTAGAGCTAAAATACATGCATTGATTTATTTAGAAAAGAGTAATGTCCAGAAAAGACCTCCTGCACTGCAGTTTATAGACCAGATTTGATTTTGGATTGGTTTAAGCGTCATTATCCTTTCATTCATAAAGCTTTTATTACATGTTGTTTCTTAACTATAAGTGATGAATTGTTTTTTGCTCAAAATGTTTGCTATTTTCACCTCTTCTTTAAACAAAAAAATTGAATATGCTTCCATTACTTTGATGTAATATCCAGAAAGTCAATTTTGGGTCTGATAGTTCTGTATAGAACAATGTTTTGTTAGATTATAAAAATTACTCTCCCCCCACTTCTGCTTTAAAGAAAGGTAGGGACAAAAAATCAATGACATTTCTTAAGGAATGGGTGGAAAGAAATATAAACAAGCTGTAAATTTTGTTAGAAGTAAAAAAGCAAATGATGACAACAAAGAAAGAACAGAGAAATGTTATGATATGCTGTCCAAACATTAACAAAGATATTGTGTTGGAAAAAGTTAGCAGCCATTAGACACGAAAATAATTTCTCTCTCCCTGCCAAAATAATTTAAATAAAAATAGAAATGGTTCTTTTTGTAGGATAAAGTGATGTATAGTAAGCTACTTCTTCACCATATTTTTTATCTTACAATCAAGATAGATACTGGGTTGTCTAGCCTATGGAAGCAGGTCAGCCTTCAAAGGTAATGTTAATCATGACTATGAGACCTAGCAGTACAAAATAAATAAACAAGAATGCATTGTGTTTTATTGACAATTTCTTTGCACATTTTGGAATCATTAGAAATGAGCTAGAAATCTGAAATGCTAGAAATCTGAAAGAGTAAGAAAGGACAGAAAATGTAGAAGAGAAACAAATATAGCAATGGATAGTAACGTGGCTATAAATGCTTCCTTAGTTAAGAAAAAAAAGTTTTAGAAATTCCAATGCAATTCAGAGGATTAAAGTGCAGGTGCTTGTGTCAGATGCAACAGGCAAAACTCAAAGGAGTTGAAATACATTTCAGTCTGTCAGCATTTTTTTTTCTTTTACTGGAAGACTAAAAACTCAACTCAGCTTCCTGTGGACTCCAGCTTCTCTTAGCTTATCAAAGCATTGTTCAAAATGATGCTGGAAGCTATGAAATATTACACAATGCTGTGTTTAAGTTGCCACAAGAAAGATAAACAATGGCAACACTTGATAGAAAACTTGGGTAGGAGACTCTTTCTACAAGTAAAAACTCAGACAAGATAGGCTGTCAAGTTTTATTAACACTGAAAAGTATTTATTACCTAAACTGAGATTTTCATGAGGAAAGAGCACAAGAGTAACTCTCTAGCCAGTTATTTAAGGATGAACAAGTTAAAAGGAGATTCAAGCTCAAAAGAAGATCCATTTCTTCCTTGGAATCCAGGGCTGAGTATAAGGCTTAGTGACGCTCAATATAAAATTATGATATGTGGCAGAATGACCCTTCAAAAATAGATATTCATGATAGTGAGGGCCATTTTAATGTGAAATGTAGAATTGGATAGAATTGAGTAAGGAAGCCCCCCCAAAGGGTTTAAATATGAAGCCCCCCCCAAGTAGTTTAAATATGAACATGTATTTAGATCCATACAATACCTCTTGAACTCTAAAAGCCCCTCTCAACCCAAATAATCTCAGTATAATTCTTCATAGCTCCAATGAAGCATTGAATTACCCAATTATGTTATCAGTTTTGTGTAAATGGCATATTTCTACTTTGTTCCATGTAAAAAAGTAAACTTCTATTTAAGGCAATCAAATCCTATCAAGTAGGCGCCCTGTAATTGTCATCACTTCCCCCTGCTCCAGTGGGAAATTATTCTTGCATTTTGCAAACATAGTTTTATAGCATCAGTTTCACACTGTCTTAGAAGATGGAAAGCTAAAGCATTTTACAGAAAAGGTAAAACTACATCATTCAAAATGTATACAGCAAGCTTATCCATTTTCTGTTGTAATTGTTCCTAAACAAGCATTGTTTGTTTGTTTTGAAATACATATAGCAGTCTATAAAGTTAGATGTCATGCAAATGAAGGAAGTGCCGTTTATAAGTTCATTCCCCTGGTAGTAGAAGTGCATGGTAGTTAATCTCACATCACAGAGTAAAGACTCTTAAAGCTGGAAAAAATAAAAGGGTACAAGAAACAGAGAGACTGCCAAAATAATAATAATAATCCTCAGGCTTCTTATTCCATCCTTGGAAGGCAAGTAGGTAATGCCTTCCAGTCATTTTCAACATGTTTTCTCTATCATTAAAAAAAAATTATACAGGCTTAAGAAGAATCCATTTCTCTGTTTCTTCAAACTGGCTTTTATGTCATGATATATTAACCACTGGTATTGCCACTGTTCCAAAGTTGATTCTGTCTTCATGATGCCATTCAGATGTGCAGTTTGGATTGTCAGACTTCTGCAGCATATAACAAGTGAACCTGATAGGGTTCTTGTAGTTGTGTAAACTTCTATCTGCCTTTCCATAGGGCCATGCCAAACATCCTTCTTCCCCGTTTTTACTTTCTTGTACCTTTTTACACTTTTCATAACAATGTATCACAAGTCAAGTCCAAATGTAAACAATAACATATTAAGTCACCCACCCCACCCAACTTTATTTAAAAAAAAAATCAATCACAAACCCAAACAATTGATATTTCTAGGTATTACATAAAGATCCATTTCAGCAATACTCAAAAGTTTACGAAATAACACGGGTTTCATTTTTCCTGTAAAAAGGCATGCAAAGTACAAGAAATAGTGAAAGGTTTCATTTTGTTTGTTAAAAGCATCATTGAAATGCCTCAAAGTGTCATTTGTAAAGCTTGCATTTTCTATCTTTGCTGGAAAGCATTGCCTCTATTTTTATTTCAGATTAAGAGGCAGTTTTGTTTCTACAACAGGTATCTTCCATGCTGCCATATTTCCTGAAATTGATATGTTGGAAAGGTGGATGGAAGTAGAGGGAGGGCTTTGGAAGTCATTTGCTGATTTATTTGGTTGTTACGGCTTAGTGCTACCAAAATTCAGCTGACTGCTAGATAGTAGCAAACAGAGATAGCCCAGATCTGGGAGTCTGGCTACTACTATTAACTAGTTAAGAACCCAAGTCTTGGAGAGGCAGAGAAAATAAGATTCACAATGTTAAAGGTAAGGAAACAAAAGGCTGCTGAGACAAAGTCAAAGGCAAATTCAGTAGCCTATGAAGTCAAAACAGCACTTTTTTTAGGCAGCTGTTTCCCAACTGGTCATAAATAAATGAAGCTCCTGTTATATATTGAATAGTGTTAATTATATCCTTCACTATATTTCACTAGTTTGAAAATATCTCACTGTATTGAAAACTAACATGGAAATAATTGCTGTCGGGTCAATATTTTCAAGCTATTATTTCTTTTATGGTTACTTAGAACCAGGGGTGGGATTCAAATTTTGTAACAACTGGTTCTGTGGGCATGGCTAGGTGGGTGTGGTCATGTGACTGAGTGGGTGTGGTTCTCTCCTTTTTTGGCACCAGTGCTGTGCCCCCCCTCCATTTTTTGCCTTCCTGGGCCTCAGGAAAGCCTCCTGGGAGAAGCAGTAAGTAAGTAAAAGGAATCCCGGCACAGCTGAACATGGGAACAGCTGATCGTCAGGAGGGGAACAAAATACCTTAAGGAGTGACTGGGCGGGGAAGAATGCAGTCAGCAATGTCGGGCATACGCACAATGTTGCGCATATGCAATAAGGATTGACTGGGCAGAGGGGCGGGGCCAGCCAGGGGCATGATTTGCTGGTTCTCTGAACTGTGCAGAATCATAACAACCGGTTCTATAGAACCGGTCCAAACTGGTAGAATCCAACCTGCTTACAACAATGTCTTTTTTTTTACACTAGGCAACTTTAAGATGTGTGGACTTCCACTCCCAGAATTCCTCAGCCAAGATGGGGGAGTTGAAGTCCACACATCTGAAAATTGCCAAGATTGAAAAACACTGACCTCGAGTCATGATTGTGATGATAAACTACTAGCCATTCCCTTTTAGCTCAGTCTCTGAAAAAAAAAAGTGGGGGGGAAGGGACATTTTCCTCACTAGAATTGCTGGGAATATCTATTGGCCTAATCACAAAACATATTCTGATGGGAAGATAAATTAATAATTTTGCATACTATTCAAAATAAAACTTAATTCACTCCAAGAAAAATTTGTGAACACAGAGTTTCTCAAGTAATACAAACTTGTTTGGAATTTATGTAATTAATAGTTTAAACCAAATAATTTTGCTTATTTACTAGATGCGTATAGCCACCTAAGTAAATTGCCTGTTTCCTGGTTTTAGGAGGTGTGACATTGGATTTAGCTGACAGCTAGTTCCAGGTACAACTGAAAACACTGGCATTGACTCAGAGAAGCTTCCTCATGTGTTGTCTGGATGTTCCAATCAGAACTGGCCTCCCATTAGAAGGAGCAGCTACTTGTAGCTTGTAAGCAGGAGATGAAGGGGAGGCGGGGCTGAGGCCAGAAAGTGCTGTTTTTTTATTTGATGAAGGCTTTATCTCAGCCTTTTCCAGGTTGGATTCTTGTTGTCTACAGAAAGCCGTTTCCTGCAATAGGGCCATGACACATGCTGTCTTCTTCTAGGTTGGCACAGAATAGTGAAGAGGACTCAGGTGAAACAGGAGGAAAAAAGTCTCTTAAATGCTCAGTTTATTTTGGTAAGGAGTTCCAAGGGTAAAAGGAATTCTAGCAAGAAACAAATAGGAGAACCAGCTGCCAAATTCCTTAGATAAAGGATAACGAGTATCTTCTTTTTGTAGTGAGGCAGTGAGAAACCTGGCCTGCAATGCAGGTGCTTCAGCTGAAAGACACAAAAAGAAATAGTTGTTTTACTCCAACCAAACACTGTTTTCTAAAACTGGTTCTTCACAGCTAGCCTTTCTTGCCTCCATATAATTATTTTTGTCACGTGTCTAAAGCTGTATGAATGTAGACAAATATGGAATCTTGTTTGCTACTAGTGTTCAGCTCTCACAATCTGGGGAAATAAAGATGGCCTTTAAACAGCAAATATGTACTGCCTGCTATGTTGGAAAGGATTCTTCTTACCAATGATCCCCTGGGACTGGAGGAGAGCAGCTTGCTAAGAATTGGCTATTGACCAGCTGCTATTATAGGTGTGGGGAAACAATGCCTCTTTTATGACTTGTGGACTTCAACTCCCAGAATTCCTGAGTGAGCATGGGAGTTCTGGGAGTTGAAGTCCAAAGTCCTAAAGGTGCCATCATTCTCCACACCTGTGTTATTAGGTTCAGATAGGGTTGGCCCACACAGCCCCAAGAACTGCTTAAAAAAGAAGATAGAAGATGGAAGACAGCATTTCCAACCCTCAAACTCTGACATAAAAAAATATGCAAGACATAGCATACATGTAAGCATTGTCTACCCAGTTCTAAAAATGAGCTTCACTGCAGCTTTTTAGGGCTGATGGATAGGGATGTGCAAATTTTACTCTACCCAAACATTGTTTTCTCAAACTGGTTCCTCATAGCTAGCCATTCCTGCCTCATATAATTATTTTTATCAGTTGTTTAATGCTGTAGTCCTCTGTAGACAAATACAGAATCATCCTGACAGTTGTGCATGTTTATATGTTTGATAAATTAATTTAATGAAATTCTTACCCGTCTATAGCGGCCAAATGAATAGGCGCAGCTCTACTTTGCATGGAAAGGGTCATATTGTACCTAACATCCATGTAGTTGTTACATATAAGAACCCAACAGAAAAAAAAAATCAATTCCAGAAACATGGCTGAATACAGAAGAATGCAAAATCCACACTTTTCAGAGCTAAGAACTCAATGCTTTTAATGGGTGAATCAGCTAGTGTTGTTCAATCCCAATCTACAATTTTTCCACCCCTCCATGAAAAATTTTACATAGTTTACTAAGTTACTTTTTATTTAATCTGAACCCCACATTTCAAATTCTTACTGCTGGGTCATCATTCTTTCATCATAGGCTGTAAAATGTCAAACCCCCACAGCACAAAATAGTATACAAACCTATTACATACCATTTGTATAATACTATGATGTAATAGTATAGATACAATAATGGAATAGAAAAAAAATGTCAGTTTCACTTACACATTAATGTAAGCTAGAAAAATTACCCATGCCTCTGACAAGGATATGAACAGAAGAAGGGTCAACTTTATGCTATCTTGGATTAATTTAAAGTACATTAAAATATACTTCATTCTTGTGAAATCCCAACAATACTGTACATTAATGTTTGTTCACCTTCATTGTTGCACTTCTTAGAGCTCTAAATTTCAGATGCTGGGCACAGATAATGAAACAATACTGCATGCTCGTATGTTGGATGAATTAACAATGGCTTTAACTGATTTTTTTTTACTATCTTCTTTAAAATGATTTTTTGAATCCATATTTTACACTGACACACCTGTATACTGCTACCTGTGTGCCAAGAGAAACAATAATAGGAATCAGCATAGCTTGGGACTGACTTACTGTGGTGAAACCGAAGGTGCTCCAGATCTGTGGAAGTGAACAATTTGCCATTTGCCATCCCGGCGGTGCCAGATTCGAGTCTCCTCCGACTGGGCAGTGCGTGGGATCCCACTTGTATCCACATACTGTGTGATACGAATGTAAGCGATGCAGGCAGACTCATCTCCCATTAAGTGGATATGTGGATTCAGGATGGTTGTGTGCAGGGGCTTGCTGTTCCTGGACCACACTGCAGATGGAAAAAAAGTCAGTGATATGAAGGCAGCTTCCAAGATCTTCTCAGGGTACCTGAGAAATTATTACCTCATTCTTGGGGAAATAGCTGAATCAATTTGCAAAAGACAGGTGTGCGATGCATTTTGCTAGGATTTCAGTGTGTGCTCCAGTCACATATAAAACAGAATGCAATATTTCTTTCAAGGGTGTATTTCTATTATTCATTGACTACAAACGCTTTTTGCTGCTCCAATTCAAACCTAATAGGCTTAATTTAACAACTCTGCAAATCTTTTATCTCAGACTCAGAATCTAAAAACATGCAATCCACATTAAAGCACCTATGACTTTGTGTAAAACTTTGAGAATCACTTAGAATAATCTGTATGAATGGGGATTTAAATCTGTATAAATACTTCTGTTTATCCTTTTCATTGACAGCCTTCCATCATAGCAATCTTTCAATATAATTTTACAAACAACCAGAGAACTGTAGAAATGTAATAGTAAATATACCATATTTTTTGCTCCGTAAGACGCACTTTTCCCTCCCCAAAAAGTTGGTGGAAATGTCTGTGTGTCTTATGCAGCAAATATGGTGACTAGCAGCCGGGCCACAGCAGCGGGGTCCTTTAACAGTGTTGAACCCTGTCTCTTCTCTCTTTGTCATTGCCCAACTCTTTTGTCTCTTTCCCGCAGTGCAGGAGTCAATAGGCAGAGCTGGCACATGAGAGGACACCTATCTATGGTCATCTCAGGCTCCGGTTCAGAATATTTTTTTCTTGTTTTCCTCCTCTAAACCTAGGTGCATCTTATGGTCAGGTGTGACTTATGGAGCGAAAAACACGGTATATACAGCATCAACTCAAAACTCAAATTTTTGACTCCATGAAAGGAAGAGTAGACAGAATATAAATGCCAGCTTCTCTGCATTAACAACCTAGAGTTACCAATTCCAGTTCAAACTATTCCTTGAAATGTTCCCATCTATATCTATCTATATCATCTATTTCTATATCACCTACGTCTGTATTATTGTGTGTGTGTGTGTGTATGTGTATGTGTATATGTATATCATCTATATCTATCTGTGCATGTGTATATACACACATTAGAATCCATTTTCCAAAGGACAAAATCTGAAGGGGGGAGGAAGAGAGTATAAATTAAAATTAATTGCCTCTAGTCGATGGTATTTAAATATTGCAAATAAATAAAGATGGCCTGTATAATTAATTCTTAAATTTGCATATAACAACCATTCTCTCTCACAAGCAAAACACTCTTCCATATAGAAATATGTTAACTATGCCCTCTCCTTTCCATCCTTGATCGCTTAGGGATTAAAAACACATACACAGACATACACAGAATTAAATCCAAGGCCAGCAACTTTTCAAAACATAAAGGATGCTTACAGTTTTCAAAGTAGAATCGATGGAAATCCAGCCCTTCCACCAGATTTCCCAGAGCTTCTGGTTCAAAGGCCGTCATTCCAGGGTCACACATTTTACTAGCGATGTCCACAAAAAGGTAAAGGAACAAGAGAAGTAATTATCCCACCACTCAAATTTACTTAGAAGCTTTTCATCATGCTGATTAATATAAAGTGAGAGTATAAAACTATACCCATCCATCAGTGAAAAAGGGTGAGAAAAGGCTGTGAATGGAGGTGGGTTAATATCTCCAAAAAGACTGTCCTTCACTGCCTCCAAGGTTATTTATTTGTTTATTCAATTAATTCCTATAGCCATCTCAATCCAATTGACTTTTGGTTGACAAGACAAGGTCAATTATGAACATGGTAAGCACACTGAAGCTGAATTCAAAGAGAGGAAGGGGGTTTGCTATAGAGATTTGGTTTGATTTGGGATCAAAGTCCTTCCTCATATGTTTCATTGAAGGATCAGGTGCTCATTTTGAGAGAAGTGCAATTCCTTGGTAGAAGTACCTTGTAAAATATATCTTTATAAGTTCTATGCTGGAATATTGAGGCATATGTTAACATAATATGCTTAGAGGTATTTTTAGAGAATATTTGGAAGGATGAATTAAAAGTCTCACAGTATTCTAGGAGCAACAGTGATCTGCTAAAAGTCCATGTCAACTGTGTGACAAAACTATCCTGCTACTGATTGACTTCTGACACAATTTAAAGAGAAGGTTTCAATTCTTAAGTGGTAGATATACTTGATCCACACATTATAAATCTTCTAGATGGGAATTCTTTGCTACTGTTTTATTATTGGTTTATGATTTAAACTATTTAATAATGGCATTATTTTATATTGCTCGTATTGTACTGATTATTCTTAAAAAGAAGGTATGGCAGACTTTATAGAACTATGTTTGAAAAATCAATTTTTAAAAGAAAATGAACCATAAAGCAAAAATTTTAGTAAAGGGAGAAAATAAATTATTGTTTCCAAATAAAACATTCTACTATTTTTTTTAAAAACTTATAGAAACTACTCTCTTAACTCATAATTATTCACCAAGAATATACCCTTGTAATTCATGGACATTTTGCTACCATTAATTACTTGGCTTTTCTGTCTTTCCTTTTAATAATGAAAAAAACATGGGATTACAAATGAAGGTCAGTATTGTCTGACTCCATCACACTATTGCAAGAACCAGCAATTTGCCTGTTCTGAATCTAGAGATCTGAATCATCTAAAAATGTTTCCCATTAATTCCATATGTCTTTCAAGATGTCTGCTAGGCTCTAACAGTGATATGTTTGAATCATCTTGCTACTTAATTATTTTCAGAACTAGTAGTGGTTTTTGAGTACTTTTTTTTTTTAAACTTCATTCTCAGGGAGAAAAGAAAAGCAAGGTCTTTATCTCCTATTCTTCATTAATACATTCATGCAGTTCATTCTCTCAACCAGGAATCACAATTTAGTTAGCAATAACGCTGAGATTTATCACTGGTCCAAAATAATCCATTTTTTAAAAAATAATTAGGATGGAAGATAATAACAAAATAATTTACAATGGACAGAGAAATAGAAAGTTCCCGAGGTCCATTTCTAGCTGTGTTTTAAATACTAATTTTAAAAAGTCATTAATTTGCTTGCTTTTATAGCAAGCTGACATTTCAAAACCAGCCAATATCACTATGCTGTTTTCCATAGATAAGGCATTTAGAATTACTAACTACACTCCTACACACTGGGCAAGCTGAGAAGAATGCTTTTTCCCTCTATGCAAACCAAAGTACACAGCAGGTACACTCACGTGTAGGACTCAAAGTCCCCGTTACTTATTGCTTCAATAAGCTGCTCTGTCACCTTAATGATTTCCTGTTTCCGTACTGTTGGATTTAAAAAAAAGAGAGAGAGAGAAGAGAAACAGTGAAAATATTGAATGGAAAATGGCAATGATAAGGTTCTTAGAACCGTATGTCTGTTTCTGCTGAGCATAGGAAACGCATAGAATGTGATTAGGCATAGAAATCAAACTTCACTGTTTGGAGGATCCAGTTTCTACTTCTTACTGTTTTGAAGATATATTCAAGTCTTTGGGACACCTCAGCAACCACAGTGATGATAAATAAGATTTTCAGTATCTGAAGGGTGGGTTTTCTGCATATTGAAAACTATCTGAACCAGAATGAATTATGCAAAATAAAAACAACAGCAGCAATTACGCAAAGCCAAAAATTAATGAGTGTACTGTCCTTCACTTTAACATCTTCAGAGAGTGAAGAACATAGCACTTCTGCACTATTGTTTTGTGCCATGTGGAGATCGGCGTCGTCCTTCATTAACCTCACTTCACCCGGAATTCAGCTTTGGTTTTGGCTCTGCCCTGGTTTGTGTGTTTATTTAAGTACTGCAAAGCTGGTATTTTTCTTTGCAGTTGTACAGGTTTTGGGGGTGGGGGGCAGTTCACCTCCCCATTGCATGAACTTTTGCCTCATCTCACTTTTTGGCTCTGAGCTCAAGGCAAAGATCCCTTATCTCCCAAGGATAATTTAGCATCCTGTTCTTGAAGTTTGTCTCTTCCTATATGCATTGTTTAGAACTCATCCCTCCCCTCTCATCCAATTACAGCTGCAACATGCAATTATGATCACAGCTATTGGGAAAAGCAACCAATAGCGAAATTGTTAATGTACTTGCATTTCACCTTCACAGATGTTTAAATATAACAATAGCAGCAAGGCAGCTGGGAAATATTTGGACTATTTTAATGCTTTTTTAAAAAAACAATTGACCTTCCCCTGAAAAACTTCTTATTGGATTTTTTTTCTTTTTCAGAAATCAGCAAACACAAGTACTTGTACTAAAAAATATGGATGGGAGGCTAGTAATTTATTTTTCCATTTAGGGGTTACAAGAGTCATTCAGAAAGTGGAACACTCATTGAATTATCTTCTTTGAACCCTCCCAGGAGCAGCATGAAGAAAAGGTGAGTGTCAGCTGGCTGATAGAGGTCTCCAAACTCAGGTTAGCCCCAGCTAATGAAGCATCATAGCTCCAGGGGCATAGCATTCGTAAAGAAAAGATACAGGAAATGAGGAAAAGTAAAAATGCCTCAATAGTTTATGTCTGTCTTCTCTCAGAAAGGAACTGATGCCCTAATGAGTACTGTAGTGTCACTGATGGAAGGAAGGGGTTGAGTTAATTCTAAACAAGGGAAAGATAAAAGCATACTTGGCAAATTTAAATTCCAATCTTTATTTAAACAAATTCCAATCTCCAGGATGAATTACTAGGACACGGAAGGATGTAGAAGAGATGGTTGCACAACTCCTGCAATCTTTCCTGGAAAGCTGGTGACATCTCCCAAAAGTGAAGGCAAACAAAAAGTATCCCTGTTTTCAGAAAAGTAAAGAATACGTATGACTGAAGGAATTTCAGACCTATTAACTTGACTGAGTAGATTTTTAACAGCATATTTATGAACACTTAGATAGGAATGCAAAAATTAGCCAGAAGCAGAATGGATTTATCACAAACAAGTCATGTCAGACTAACTCTATGTTGAAGTCATTCTAATAAACTGGGAGAATGTCATGACCTCAGCAACACATTTGACAAAGTATCTGTTATCCTTATTAATAAAATGGCAAAAGGTGGGCTAAAAGATATAACTGTCATAACTGGCTGAATGACCACACCCAGAAAGCACTCATCAATGGCTCCCCATCAGTTTAGAAAATATTATTAAGTGGAATGCCATTTGTTCTGGATCCTATGTTGCTCAACATTTTTATGGTGGATCTAGACCAGTATTTTTCAAACTTGGCAACTAAGGTGGATGGACTTCAACTTTTGTTATTGTTTTTAATGTTTTAATATGTTGCAGGGCTAGTCTAGAGAAAAGAAGGACTATGGGTGACATGATAGCAGTATTCCAGTATCTGAGGGGCTGCCACAAAGAAGAGGGGGTCAACTTATTTTTCAAAGCAGCAGAAGGGAAAACAAGAAACAATGGATGGAAACTAATCAAGGAGAGAACCAAACAGAATTAAAGAGAAATTTCCTGAGTTAGAACAATTGATCAGTGAAATGACTTGCCTCCAGAAATTGTGGGTGCTTCATCACTGGAGGTTTTTAAGAAGAGAATGAACAGCCACTTGTCTAGAATGGTATACGCAGTGGTGCGATTCAACCAGTGTAACAACTGGTTCGGTGAGTGCCTGAACTGGTCCGAACCAGGAGAATCCCACCCCAGGAATAGGGTCCTGCTTGAGGGTTGGACTAGAAAACCTCCAGAGGTCCTTCCAGCTCTATTCTAATTAAAGTAGAAGTAATGGGACATGAAGTTCTAAGCCAACCTGACAAACTAAAAATAAATAAATCCCCATAAGTAGATAGCATCCATTCAAGTTTCTTAAAGAACAATTCTGATCTTTTCCCAGAAATATGCAATTCATATTTGACATCAGCATCTATTTCAAAGAGCTAGAAAACAGCCAGGGGAAATAGTGGATATGATAAACGTTAGAAATGGCTGTATTATTACAGGGGAAAATAGGTAAACCTATAGAAGAATGAAGCTTGTTGAAAAGCCAGTAGTGCTCCCACAAACCATCTTACAAATATTTTGTTGTTGATGATGTTATCAGAAAATTCATAGACAAGGGAACTCGAAGTATATTATATAAACCTAGGTATACTATATACTTGGATTTTCTAAACATTTGACAAAGTATTTCACAAAAAAAAAAATCCTGAGCAAACTCAGTTGCCATGGAATGTAGCCTTGGGAATTGGCAATAGCAATAGACTTATATAGCATTCCATAGTGCTTTACAGCACTCTCTAAATAGTTTACAGAGTCAGCATATTGCCTCCAACAATCTGGTTCCTCATTTTACTGACCTCATAAGGATGGAAGGCTGAGTCAACCATGAGCTGGTCAGGATTGAACTGCTGGCTGTGGGCAGAGTTAGCCTGCAATACTATATTCTAACCACTGCACCACCACAGCTTCTCCCTTTCTGATATTTTGAGGGAGGAATTTGTCTTCTTTGTTCTCTTGTTTTTCTCCTTCTTCCTAAAACAGCAATGAAAATACACACAGGTGTGTGTGTAGGTATGTATGCATGTTTGTGCATGTGCATGTATGCATTTTCACTGCTGTTTTATGAAGAAGGAGAAAGACAGGAGAAAAAAGAAGACAAATTCCATGCGCAGAATATCAGAAAGGGAATTTAAATTAGAACTGCTGATACAGTAACTTCCTTATGAAAATATATAAACACCAACATTTGCAGAAAGTACACAATGCTGGTCACTGCATCTAAAGGGGGATATTAAAAAATCTGAAAATATGAGAAAAAAAATCAACTCAAACAATTACATATGCAGAGCAGTTCTCTTAGAAGAAAAAACTATAGCAAGTAAAGCTTTATAAACTGATATGAGGTAATGTATAGAGAGATACCGGAGAAATATGCAAAGTGTATATTTCTGTGGATAAAGAGAAGCTTCCTCCATTTCTTATAATATTATAACTTGAGATAATTCATTAAAATTAAATGCATGGAAATTCTAGGCAATAAAAGGAAATATTTTCCCCCACAGTGCATAGCTATAATTTGCTATCAGTAGCTCCCATTTAGATGTTTTTCAAAAGAGATTGGACAAATTTGTGGAAGTTCAGTCTATCAAAGGCTATAAAAAATGATGTGTCTTTGTCATCTCCCCAATTATAGTTAGTTTGTCTTAATATGAATTGCAGTGAAATATCTGGTTGTCCACCGAGTCACACAGGAAGCTGAACTAAATGTGCTGCCAGCAAGGCTCTTCCAATCTTATGAGCCCTCATCCACTGCATTTCAAGATCAACCAAAGAGAAAATGACTTTAGGTCAGATTCAAACTGCTTTGGCAAGAATTGAGGCAATACAGAAACGCAGATAGTATGGAAGAGCCACAGCCAAGCCAGCACAATGGATCCTGGGAGCAACCTTTGGTTCTTTACACTATTACTCAATATTTAGAGAGATAAGTTGTTTCAAGAAACTTGTTAAAAGGAGGGAGGGAGGGAAAGAGGTGGGGAGGGACAACAAAAGATTTAAGCCGAGGTAATGGCCAAGAATAGAAAAGTATGAACACAGAATAATTACCAGTCACTCTAATCAGACTACATTGGGTAAATAAAGTTTCCTTGTACATTTTTCTATCTTCTTCTATTGTGATATTCTTCTATCACAATTAAGGAGAGTTTCAATGCTTGTCAAAAGAAGATCATTTCCCACTTACCTCTCATTAACTGAAAACAGTAATATAACACAGTGATCTGGGCAGTTCAAAAGCAGTAGTAGGGCAGCAGGATTAAAAAAAACATACAAATGAGCCCCAAACCGCCACATTAATTGCTTTATTAAACAAAATATGAGGAAAATACCCACAAGAAAATAAAGCAGCAGACTTAACAACCGTTCGTTTTGTGATGGTTCGAACGGCACTGAAAAAAGGGACTTATGACCGTTTTTCACACAACCGTGGCAGCATCGGCATGGTCACATGATCAGAATTCATATGCTTGGCAACTGACCAGTGGTGAGATTCAATTTTTTTACTTCTGGTTCTATGGGTGTGGCTTGGTGGGCATGGCAAGGGAAGGATACTGTAAAATCTCCATTCCATCCCCACCCCACTAACCTGCTTTCCAGCTCCGCTCTCCTGTGCAGGGCAACAAAAGAAGACCCAGCCGATCAGCTGGGACTCGGGAGGCAGAGAATAGATGGGGGAGAGGCCAGTCAGAGGTGGTACTTGCCGGTTCTCCGAACTACTCAAAATTTCTGCTAACTGTTCTCCAGAACTGGTCAGAACCTGCTGAATACCACCTCTGCAAT